AGGGACTTTACTTGCCCAGGCTGGCTTCCAACCAAGATCCTCAGATCTCAGCCTTCTGAGTAGCTAGGGTTACAGGTGTGAACTACCAGTGCCTGGCTTTGGTTTTGTTTTTTGAAACAAGACCTCTTTGTGTACTATGTATCCTAGGCTAGCTTCAAACCCTCAGTCTTCTTGCTTCAACCTCCTGAGTGCTGGGATTATAGATATCCACCCACCCATGCTTTGGTTTGTTTTTCTTATGTTTTTGTTTGTTTGGTTTTTGTCAGTCTAGGGGCTTGAACCCAGGGACTGGGCACTATCATTGAGTTTTTTCTGCCCAAGGCTAGAGCTCTAACTACAGCTTCACTTCTGGTTTTCTGGTGGTTAATTGGAGAACAGAGTGTCATGGACTTTCCTGTGTGGGCCAGCTTCAAACCATAATCCTCAAAATTCAGCCTCCTGAGTAGCTAGGATTACAAGCAAGAGCCACTAGCAACGGCTCTTAAGAGTTTCCTTTAGGAAGTTCTGCTCTAATTATGTCCACATCCCAAAGTGGAGACTACAGAGTAAGGAGTCCCTGAGACAGGCTTCTCTATATTTTACACTTACTAGGAACCTGGTGCTCAGATCAGAGCTAGTATAGTGCTGGCTTGAAAGCTCTTTGGGGGGCAAGAAAGAAAGCTATGCCAAGAATTAAGGTGCTAGAATAAAGGAAGGGCAAGAGAAGAGAAAGATGATGCCTGGCATAATTGTACCTTGGGAACTGACACAATCAAGCTGAGGTGCAGCTCCCTTTTGTAGATGGACTCCCAGGAGAGCTGAGCTGAACAGAGCAGAGCAGCTGCTGCAGCCCTGCCCCTCTGCCTCTTAGCTCAAGGCATATCACAGCCCAGTTCCAGTAGTAGTTAATACATTCTGTGGTCCTTTCCATTTTTTTCCTTCATGTCTTACCTCCCTCCTTCATTCTGTAACATAAAACTTTTCTGTCTTTTTTTTCCCCACTGTATTTGGACTTGAACTTAGGGCCTTATACTCACAACTGGCACTCTGTGGCTCTCGCCTGTAATTCTCCTAGCTACTCAGGAGACTGACATCTGAGGATCATGGTTCAAAGTCAGCCTGGACCAAGACTCGTTATCTCTGATTAACTACCAAAGAACTGGAAATGGAGCTGTGGCTGAAATAGTAAAGTTCTAGCCTTGAGCAAAGAAGTCTGAGGGACAGCTCTCTGGCCCTAGGCTAGCACAGGGACAAAAAGGGGGGGAGGTAGATCCTGGGGAGGAAAGAGAATAAAAAGAAAATTTCTTTCCATTTGAAAGAGGAGGAACAGATTTTATTCTCACTAACCATAACTGAAATTGAGTAGTTCTTATGATTATGAATGTCAGCCACAAACCAGGATAGCATCAGCAGATATTTTCCTACATTCATCTCTGCTTTGAAATGAAGCTAGTAATTCAATCTACGACTAGATCTTATTTACTATATTAGTAAGGAGGAAAAAAGCATATATTCCTATGTCATACATTTGGTTCTTTTAGCATTTTGTTAGCTTTCACTATAATTTTCTTATTAATTGTCTGCATTTATGAACATTTAAAGAAGAGGTACTGGGGTTTTAACTGGAGACCTGGTACTTCCTAGGCAAGTGCTCCACCCTTTTTGTTAGGTTTTTAAAAAGAGGTAGCCGAGTAAGAACAGCACCATGCACGTGGTATTCAGGTAAGGGGTAGGTTTATTAATCGTACTGGCTGGCACCAGGCCGTGTTGGCCCTCCACGCGGCTTGGAAAGAGAAGAGAGAGCTGGGAAAGAGCTGGGAAAGAGCTAGAAAAGAGCTAGAAAAGAGGGTGTCTGGGCCTGGGTTAGGCCTTATCTAGGGTATAGACAGAGAAAGGTGTGGCCACATCAAATTCAGATGTGACCTCAGCGGATGCAGATGTGACCTCTTCCAGGTGTGCCAGTTGCCTAGGTAACGCAGGTACTGGGTGGAGACTTTGCTGTGAGGAGGGTGGAGTCTTCTTGCCATCCAGGAG